CCCCCCGCGACCCGTCGCAAGTCGCGCCCGCCGCACCCCGACCCCCGACCGGACCCGACACCTCCGACACCCGACGCGTATTTTTAGGTTAGGGGTGTGCCCCCGCCTGCCTCCTCCAGTGACTGCTGGGCTGGGAGCCGCTGCAGCTGCAACCAAGTTGTTGCACAGCGTCCGTCCCGTTTCAAATTCCCCGGACCCGAGCTCTGTTTGCGCTAAGTGCGTGCGTGCGTGCGACGAGTGCGCGTGTCGAAAGTGTCTTGGAGATGCGTTCGTGTGTGCTGTTCGATCATGTCTGTGGGCTGTTTGGTTACGTGTGTGGATAAATCTTGACTCTGGAATTTGTGGGTGCATCTCTATGCGTCAAGCTGCAACTGCCGAGTCGGCGATTTCAAGTGTAGGACGTTCAGGAGGGTTTTGGGGGTGAGGCCTCTAGTCTACAGCAAGTTGGGAAGTGCAAATTTTGTTTCTGTGCTGCCTCCCGCCGTAAACGAGTGCTCTCGAATGACATATAATACAATATGAATCATGAGTTGAGGTTATGCGGCTCCTGTGAACTGTTTGGAAATCATTTGCTGCTTTTATCTTTCGCTCAGGGTCTTCTGGGATTATGTGGAATTGTAGGCACCACCTAACTCAGTTGTGGCCTGAGAGTTAGCATGCATAGTTCACCATCACTGGTGTTGAAATTAATACTGTAGAGTATTTCATGCCAACCAGGCAGAGTTTAGAATGTCATTAATGTACTGATTTGTTTGGATTTAATTTACTTTTAACTTCAGCTAACTTACTGTCTGATAAATATTTTCTTAATTGTCTCATCTTACAATGTGCTAAGTTTACGCAAATTGATTCCTAACTTCTGAATTACATTTCCATTTATCAAGCAAGTGAATGGTAATACTAAACTAATAAACATAGTTGTTAACATCATTTTGTGAGTTTTTTGTTTTGTATTTTTATACCGATATTTATTGCTGATTAGTTATTGTTTACCTTCCCGAGTGGGTTGTTTATGGTAGCAATGCCACAGTCATGATCGAACTTTACACCCAACCATCTCAATTTGCTCCACGTTCGAGTGCTAATGAAATATTACCACTCATTATTCCAGTGATGTGGATGTGAAAATTGAAGACAGCAGACTTTCAATATGACAGGGCGTAGAAAGAAACGTCAAGAGACTATAGCCCAGAAAGTGTCATCCTTGATTAGTTTGGACAAGGTGAGTTGGTTGTCAGCGGCTGGGCAAGATTTCATTTGCAGAACGTCATTGTCTGACTGGTTGCTCAATTAACATTTTGGGTAATCTTAACCTAAGTACTTGAATACTGTTAATCGATTTAGGTGTGAGAAATTTTCAGCTATGCAGACTCTTACTATTTAAATTTGGGGTCTGATAAAAAAGAATTATATATGAAGTGTGGTACTTTGATTGTGAAGTGAAAATCTGGCGATGAAATTGGTTGATTTGCTTTTAATCACATTTATGTTTAAATAAAGTATTGTTGAATCACACTGTAACACACATGCACACATGCAGGGTTTTGACCAGCAACAATTGTCAATTGTCGAATGTGTTGTAGTGGATTTTTGCGGCCTCTTATTGGCTTTCTAAATAGAACATATCCAAAAAAACTAGTATCAGTGCCACAGTATAAACTCAAGTAATTCCATAGTTTCAAATTAAATCACATTACTTTCCAATACGACGTACTGATGGTGAGTGTGCCTTGTGCCTTTTTATCTCGATGATCGGTTCCTGGATATAATGCCCCATGTCATCAGTGTAACAAGATGGCACTGTCAATCACATTGTGAAAGCGTTTGCCTTATGCATTATGCTGAGTTTGGCGAGGGGTCTGCAACTGCTG